GAAAATTTCCATCTCGTTTTCGATCTCCAAGGATTTCGCGGAAAAGAGGAAAGATGTTGGCATTCTCGACGCGTTCCCTTTTTCAAATTGAGAGCGTGAGGAGGGGGGGGGCTCTAAGGGGAGATCGGAGGGTTGATCGCGATGCGAAATGCGAGGGGGATCGCAGAACGCATCGGTATCCAAATATAAACGACTAAACGATTCGGTCTACGAGCCGTCTGGTTATTTATCCCGCTTTTCCGAGATTATCCCGGGAATCGTTGGCAGACGGTTCCGTTTGTTTCGCGATTTTGCTTCGGGATATAGGCGGCGATTTTACTTTCATGAAACGGGGCAACGTTCGTTCGTTTGTTCGTTTTCCCGAATGCTGAACAACGATTCAGTCGATTTTCCATCGGGAATGGCCGAACGTTTCCTTTGATTGAATTTTTCGAGAATTTGGAGAGAGAGAGAGAGAGAGAGAGAGAAACCTTCACTTTGACATTGAGACAGAAATAGGTCGGGATTAATGTCGTCGAGGATCCGATGTAAAGATGGATAAAATGAGAATTCGCGAATTTTTCCACGGCCAAGAAACTAATGGTGGAACGAAACGTGTTACACGTTACAAAAGGCCGGTCGATAATGTGGATTTGGAAAGAGGTTGGGATGGTCGCAATGCCATTCGAGCGCCGGCACGTACGGTTGGGACCAGGAAAGGTAAGGTTAGTTATAAATACATCCCGTTCAAGAATAGATCCCGGACTTGGTGCAACTGCAAACCGCAAATCGTTCAAAATGCTACCGGATATTCGGACAGTTTGGTGGAAACGGTACGCTCCGACGAAACGAATCATCCGTCGCGGCAACAACACGTAGGGTCGGTGACACACTTTCATCGATTTTCCTAATCGCGAGATGCGTCATCGTCGGTTTCAACGCGTCTCCTTCGAAACGTTTTCTCTCGAAACGAGATGGGTGAGATGGGTGAGTAGTATTGTTCTTTTTTTCTTTTTTTTTTTTTTTCTTCTTATGGGTGGATACTTCAACGGTCGGCGACGTTCGTCAGAAGGTTCGTAAAAAGCTTTTTACGAACCGAAGAATTTTTTCTTTGTGACGGTTACTCGTACCCGAGCGTCCTAGATACCTTTTCCATGCCGGATGCACACGACCGCTATAAATCAAAAATGTTTTTTATTGATTCGTAGTTTATTTTTGAATGGAGAAAAAGAAAGAAAGAAAGAAAGGAAATAGGAAAATAGGAAGAGAAATAGAAAACAATTAAGATAAAGTTGATCGGATGTCGAAGCTGTTTCTTGAGCGTATAAATTTTGCGAAGCGAATATGACGAGCGAATAGCGCGAGAAGGATGGACGTAGAATAAAAATATGGAAATTAGCGCCATCTCCAGAGTCGCAGAGAGCCGCAAATGAAACTCGTCGGGCAAGGATAGCGAATGATTAGAGAAGGATAGAGATAGATTAAGAATCGATCGTTATTGCCATCTCTCGATTAGCAAAGGTACCTTTCCAAAAAAGTAAGGTAAATAAGAATCTATTATTGGCGCCATCTTTTGAGCATCGAGAATATTTTTTATCATTTTTAGTTCTACTTTATCATACGTTTTAATTAATACCGTTATCGTTCCAAAGATGGCGCAAGCAATCGATCCTTATTCTATATCTATCCTTCTCCCTCTATTCTCTGTCCTTGCTTACGTGAGTTTCATTTGCGGCACTCTGAAGATGGCGCTGACTTCCACATTTTTATCCTATCTTTATCCTTCTCGCGCTATTTGCTCTCTTTGTCATACTTGTTCTTGGTGCGTGACCACACACGATACAAAGTACGGATATGAAACCAATCGAATACATTTTCATACATTTCTCTTTCAAAATTCCAGCTTAATCTTAAATATTTAAGGAATTTTAGATATTATAAATATGGATGGATAAATAGAAGAATAAATCAAATGATCGTTTCTTATTTGTAATTTTATATTCGATTATAATTATTATTAATATGCTTCAATCGTAATTATTCTAATCTTATACGGTTTTAGATTAATTGAAACGAGAAGATCGTTAATGTATCGTTAATCCTGCTCCAGCGTAATCTAACGTAACGAAAGTATGGTCCTTCGCGAAACAACTCGTCGTCTTTCAACGCTCATCGAATATTGGGAAATAACGCAATTTCCGTACGATTTTCCACGTGCAATAGTGTCGTGTTTACGCAAGTTAGCAATACGCAATTCAATGAACCGCAATGAAAGCGATATCGTATCTGCTACTGCGACACAAAAATCTATACTTCTCAAATTACACACTTTGCCTATCTATGCGAAAATTGATTCATTCTCCTTCCGATCAATTTGTTTCTTGTCCCATAAATCTGTTCAATTTTCTGCCCCTTTATGCAAATTTTCCTCCATCTTCTCCCATCCCCTTTTTGTAAATATTCCTTGAAGATCAATGTTTCAAAGTTAGAAATTTAAGACGCAACAACTTGGCTGATAAAAGCCTGTTAGCCCCTTGTACTATGTTCTAATTAGTCGAAATGAGATAATTGCCTTTGCAGAAGCTAGCCAGCTAACACGAGGAGGAACAGAGATCTTACGATATCCACTTCTATATCCACTACTATTTCCTCGTACGACCAACGTTCCTCGTGCGAACGAAGGGTAAATACAAAAAAATTAATCGCTTTTTACGAAATAGCTATCGATCAATAGCCATCGATATCGCGAATTCTTTCGCTCGGATATTCAACATTTTTCAACCTTCGTAACGTAACGGATAATTATATATATACAATTGCGAGCCATAGTGTCGTAAATGCTGAACATTTTTCGACGAACGAAGGGAAGAATTTTCATAAAATTCCAATTCTTTTTTTTTTTTTTTTTTTTTTTTTTTATATGCATATCCATCAAAATTTTCCACAATTTTGTTCAATTTAACGAGCGAATAATAATCTCGATTCGAAGTTTATCGCTGAATTTTCCACGATTTCCATTCCACTTTTTTTTTTACTTATCATCACTGACGCGACGGTTTTTCACTTAGTGCAAAACAACACGGATAATGAGCGTAACGTATCGCGCTGCCTCGAGGAAGATTCGAGACGTGAAAAAAAGAAAGAATGAAAGAAAGAAAGAAAGAAAGAAACCTCGATGGCGAAATTATAACCGCGTACGAAGTATTTAACGAGGCAAAGAGGCATGGGCGCAATTATGGGCGAGCGAAAAGGATCCACGTGGATTCGGAAACTGGCCGAGCGTCAAGGAAATTGACCGCGGAATTACTTGGGGCCGATAAATGGCGGGCGCAAAAAAACCGGCGAGTCGATCTTTCCCCGCATGCGCGCTCCGCGTTTAATTATTTTTCACAACATTGTTCTCCTCTTCCTCTTCTTCCTTTTTCTTTTCTTTTCTTTTTTTTTTTTTTATTCTTTTTTTTTTTCTCACCGCGTTTCCAGGAATCGAAAATCGCGTTTCACGACATATGTCACGGAACGTGATTTTTATTTGCACGTTTATTACTTCTCTCGTCCTCGATTCCTCAAACACATTGTTCTCCTTCAAACAACACATTCTCGAGAGAAAATCCTCCTTTTCCGTTTTCCTCCTTCCTATCCTATTTTTTTTTTTTTTTTTCCTTTCTTTGAAGGACCCACGTCAGTTTCCATCGCGCGCGTTTTGGCAGAGGCAGATTTTCGAATTTTGCGCTAAACAATCGTTCGATTAAAATTGTGCTCGGGAATAAAAACGAGATCGACATGCGAAATCGTGGGGGATTTCGTTGAGGATTCAGGATGAAATCGTCGAGTCAAGATACGAGGAAGTTGCGTTGGAGGACTTCGCCTCGTTCTTTTTCCTGTTTCCCTCAAGGTTGCCTACCGTCGATAATTTCTTCTCTTCGTTTGTATTCCGGCCGACTTTCTACTTCGCGAGCTGCATTTCGTGTCCTCCGGCGACGCGCCGTTTTTCGCACGTTTCTACACACACACACATATACACACACACACACACGTACCTTGCGTACGCGCAACGTTATTCGTTATTTCGATCATGTAGTAACGTTCAAACTCGACGGACGAGGCCGACACGTGATACCTGTTGTTCCTTCCTTCCTTCCTTCCTTGCCTTTGTTTATGTTTTGAAGTCACGGTAATACGATCCAAAGGGAGACCATCGTACGTAATTTATTGTACAGAAACTTTTATGTGCCTCTAGGCTCGAGAATAATCATGAAGAATATATTCTTCTTCACTATTGAAATTTTTCTTCGTTCCTTCTTTATCAATTACCATAATTTCGAATTTTATCTTAGCATATATCTTAGCACTGGATATATATATATATATATAAAATAATTCACGAGAGAAACACGCGATCGGTTGGAAACGAAATTTATTCGGAATCTTCGTTGGAAAGGGAAAAGGTTGGGGAATTAAAATTAACAGTATCGAAACAGTATCTAGGGAGAGGAGGGGGCATTAATCGGAGGTCATTCCCGCGAGTAAGTGGGAACTAGGAATTTCATTGGAAGTGGGACCAAAGGAGCGTAAGAGCGTTGTTAATTTCCGGTGCTTTGTTCTTCGCGGCTTCGTTTCATTTCCGTTCGCGAGCCGGGAAAAAAGAAGAAGAAGGAAGAAATCGTATCGGAAAAAATCGGATCGAGAAGGTTGGAAGAATAATTCCAACGAGTCCTCGAAGGTGTCCATCCTCGAAAAACGACGATTCGTCCAATTCCTCGCGAGTCTCACGATTCATCTTGCGCGCAAACTACATGTCGCATTCGCCGTCTCTAGGACAACTTCCTCCTCAAAGTTTTATAAATTTACGGAATCCCTTCCACTTCCATTATCTCTCTCTCTCTCTCTCTCTCTCTCTCTCTCTCTCTCTCTCTCTCTCTCTCTTCACCATCCCCACTTGAGGAGGCCGGCTTCCTCCTCCTCCTCCTCCTCCTCCTCCTCCTCCTCTGGGAGGGGAATCTATTTAAAGTGAACTTTGACGAATGACCGATCACAACGTTACCATCCTCCCGTGGCAACAACACCCAGTCGAGAGCCGGATCTGGACCTGATCGAAGCGAGCCGAGGACGATCGACGAGACGATCTTCGATACCTTGAACACGAAACGAAACTTGTTTTTTTCTTCCTCGTCCACGTAAACGGGACCGCGCTTTCACCGCGACGATGAGGGGAACCATTCTCGTTTTCGTAGCTCTGCTCGTAGTTGTCTGTGCAACCGAAGTTAATCACTGTGGAACCGGTGAGTAGAAAAAAAAGAAAAAAAAGAAAAAAAAAAAGAAAAGAAAAAGGAAGAAAATTTTTCTTTCTTTCTTTCTTTTCCCTCCCCTCCCCCGGTTATTCCTTTCGAATCGATAAATTCCTCGTTGGAATTATTCTCCCTCGTACTCGATCGAGTAATTATCACCGCTCGTTTCGAGAACGAGTAATAAAAATCGTGTCGTGGCGGCGATCGTTTGCCGTTCGCATATTTAAATACGATTCGCGCGCGCGTGTGTGTATGTGCGTGCGTATGTACATGTACGTGTTCTCTCGTTTACATTCCGCGGTCAAGTTTTATATTGACTCATCGATCGTATCTTTTTATTTTTGTGTATACGTCGGTCTATTACGTCTATTTTGCATAATATTTTCAATGGATTATTTACGAATGAGCGAAACTTGAGATAAGAAGATGTTAAAAAAAAAGAAAAAAAAAGTACGGATAACATCCCCATCTTATCGTCCAGAAGTGAAAAATGCAAATTGATTTTGTTCGATATGTCGTGGATTTTTCTCTCTCTCTCTCTCTCTCTCTCCTTCGACGATGATTTCGTTTCAAAGTTGATAGGAGAGAGAATATACGATCTCTTGTCGATTCTCTTATTTTTTCCTTTTTTTTTATTATGCAAAGTACGGTGTGCCGATCGCGCCGTAATTAAACGATCGACTGGCTCGTTTCGAGAGGAACTCGGTTTTTATCGGCGAGCAGAGTTAAAACCAGGTCGAATGGAATCTTTATTAATATATTGGCAACGGTATTTGGATGCTACGAGATATTGAAAATATTAATATATTTCTTTTTTATGACTCCTCGATGAAAAAAAAGGAAAAAAAGAAAAATTCCTGGAAGAAGAAATCCTTCAACGTCTTTCAATTATATAACTATGAGCAGGAAAGCCTTGGTTTATCTTGTCAAAGAATATTTTTATTCAAATAAATTGTACGTAATGATAGTAAAAAAAAAAAAAAAAAAAAAAGGAAAAAAAATGTAGTAATACGTTTTATTTACTCGTTGCGCACATAATTTTTTGCCCAACGAGATATATATTAAACGAATATATCGCAATGAATATTCAGGCGACGCGAGGCAAATGCACACATTTTCAAACTTTATACACATTTGTAACAAACAACACATTTGTGAACAACCCGTGTTTAGCGAGGGCACCGATTAAATCATTGGCGCACCAATATTTTTTTTTTCCCACGGTTAAATTTCTTCATTATTTAATTTGTCGCCATATATCGACGTTACAACAAGCAAAAAAAAAAAAAATAATAATAATAATAATAATATTAATACACGGAGCAATAATCTCTGAACTGGTGAACGTCATCGTGTTTGAATTCACGTCGTTCGAATATCAATGCGAATTACCGTATCGGCTTTACGACCGAGCGTACGCATTGCGTCACGCATTGCAGACCCACTTTTGTAATCGGGAAAAAAAAAAAAAAAAAAAAAAAAAAAAAAAAAAAAAATTGATTGCAGGAGAGAAGTTCGAGGATTCGAATCAGGTTAAGATAACCGGCTGCGACGTACCACCGTGCAAATTGAAACGAAGGACGAAGGCGTCGGTCGAGCAAAAGTTCGTGCCGAAACAAGATGTCGAGTCTTTGGTGAACTCTGTGAACGCCGCTGTGCTTGGCGTACCGTTGCCGTTCGTCGGCGTGGATGGGACCAGCGCGTGCGATAACATTTACAATCTGGACGGAACTCCGGCTGGATGCTCGTTGAAGAAAGACGTCGAGTACATCTACAAGCGAGAGTTCCCCGTGCTGCAGATTTATCCCACGGTAAAAAAAACTTTTTTTCTCGTTCTCTCTGCTTGCTCTTGAATATATTTATTTTTTTCTTTTTTTCCCCCCAAACTGTATTCCTACACATCGAACAGATAAGAATTATCGTGGCCAGTAAACCGATTTTAATAAACGTTATCGCGCACGAGCACAAGTCTAAGGTTGTTTCGCAATACGTGAAATGAAAGAATGGTTAATTATCTCTTCGATTTATTTTTAATTCTTTCTTTCTTTCTTTCTTTCTTTCTTATAATTGTATATACAGTCCATTTACAACGGATTGTAATGGAAAAAATCGTAGAGAATAAAAAAATGATGAGAAAGTTTCCTCTTTGTTCTCGATTCACGTTGCATTTTTTTTTATTTACAGATTTCCATGGTTATTCATTACGCGCTGATGGAAGGAAACAACACGATCGCGTGCTTCGAAGTTCCAGCAAAGATCACCAATTGAGAATGTCCCGTATTTTTGTGGAGAAGAAGCGATGAACGTGTTGTTACCTCGGTATAAGAAAATCTATGTGCAACGCAAGATGGAAGAGAAGCGTTTTCGCATGGGAAAGATACGATCTCCGTGGATAGAACGATTCTCACGTAGTCTTGTCTCAGAGAACGAGCTTAATCAGTATCATATATATAGTGTATGCGAGTAATTGTAATTCGTTAATAAAAGCTTTTGTATTTCTTTCGTCGCGACATCTAGCCGCATCTTGTCCAATTATTCCGAACGATTATTTCTATCGCTCCCGATTTTCTATTTTCCATTCCCCTCGCGTTTTAACGTCCAGTTTGTCGGATTAGTTAGTTTTATCGGTTATCGAAGGAGGATTAACGACCTTGGAAAGAGTCGAGCGTGTGTGCGAGAGAACGGTTGACGGAGAGGTTAACGATGAATTCGACGAGGCGTAGGTAATACAGGAAACTTCGAACTTTCCGAGTCGTCAGCTACCGCCACGCACGGCTAAACGGGAAAATGCGTTGGATAGGCTCCTCCGACGATACGAACGCAATCGAAACCTCGTCTTCCGCCATGTAAAAAACAACCTTGAGATCGCCGTGTAAATTTCTTTCTTTTTCGAATACGAGTAAAAAATTTCGCTCGTGAAGAGAGAGGATAACGATTTTTTCTCCCTCGACAGAGTGAAAGAGGGAGGACAGTGATCGCAGTGACGGACGAATCGATTGCGACGCAATCGTTTCTCCCGCGATAAATTCTTTTTTTTTTTTTTTTAACGCATATTACATCGTGATCTATATACAAAAAAAAAAAAAAAAAAAAAAAAAAAAAACAGCTTCCCCGTTTCGCGATGCCTCTGCAAATTTGACGAAAAATCGAAACGCAACCGTGATAACGAGTTGTTGGCACACGGTATTTACAACGCGATTTTTCATAAATTCCAATCGCCGCGTACGATCTGTATTCTCCGCTCGGTTATTTTCCCCGTCGACTCGTATCTCGTCTCGAATTACAAAAGTAAATTACAACGGATGGGGGTTTGATCGATAACAACTTCGTTAATTATTCAATTACAAGCCGCACGTCGCAATAGAGTTCGAAAGGTTTGCTTTTTTTTTTTCCCCCTCCCCCGTCGAATAACAATCGATTCGGCTTCTTTCTCCCCCCCCTCCCCCCTCCTTCTTTCTCTTCGTCTCGAATAATCGAGGAGCCGATTTAAGAGCGAGAAAGGCTGGTCATTTTCGAAAATTGCAAAGTTGGCGCGGTATCGCGGCCGATACCCGCTTTCTCCTAAAGATCGAGTAAACGGCGTTGCGTGAAGGGAGCGCTTTAATCTCGAGGCCGAATCTCACGGAACCAAAACGTTTTTTACCTTCGCCCGCGCTCCCGTCCCGCGCATTATCGCGGGCCTAATGACCGCGTTAATGGCCGACCTCTGCGTGTAATGTCGCTCCCCTCCCCTCCCTCAGAAATGTCGCGATTTCAACGCGACGGGGTTTGACGTTCGTGTTCGGCCGCCCTGTCACGTAACCCGCGCTTCGGTTGATTTTTTTCGCTCCTCTTTTTCGAATCCCTTTCGAATACCTCGCGGTATCGAATATTCCTCGAAAAGAGAGAGAAACACGTGGAGGGAGGGGAAGGACGCGATCGAGATTAAAAATACGCGCGTTGTCCCAACGCGGCCGAAAGTGGTGCGCTCTTATCCGGGAGCGGATTTTATCGTGAAATTTTCACTCGCCCGGTTTTAAATTACGTTGGAACGCGTAATATACGCGACACGGCACGCACGCAGTTTCATACGAAATTCATCGGAGCCGGGGAGCCATACTCGGCTGAATAAAAGTGAAACGTGAAATATTTAAGCGCGGAGCGCGGTATAGCTTTTGTGATACGGTTGATGCCTCTCCCCCGATACGCAAAGTAGGGCCGATTTAATTTCGGAGGAGAAGACGCAAAGAAGAGAGAGAGAGAGAGAGAGACAGAGATTGGATCGATAGGATCGAGCTCGGTTATTAATCCTTTGTCCACCGGTTCCTTTGTTGCTGGGGGAGGGGAGGGTGCGCTCGAGCAACGGTGACGAAAAGTCGTTATCGACGAGCGTTTCGAAGATTCGTGAGAGGGGAGGGGGGCGCGTGCCCCGTCGAAAATATACAACCGTCTATGCAGGCAAGCGTTCGAGTGGCGTGCGCTCCTTTTCACGAGCTTTTAAGATGACCATGATCCGTGACACTATTTCCCCATCCCTTCCATCCCGTTCACCCCGTATCTTATCCACCGACTCGCCAGCCTCTCCACCACTGTAAACCACTTCGACAACCGAACAAAAGGCGCTCGTTGACCCATGGATCGTCGAGTAAGCCTTAAGCGTAATCTTAAACGCGTCCAAACATCTCCACCCTTCACGAATTTATTCCCCCTCTGTTTCGAACCTATCCCTATCCGAGTATATTTTCTCGATTCGAAGGAAAAACAAGATATTCATGGCTACAGTTTTCAATTACACAGTGGACGTGAAAAATATTTGCACGTGGATCTATCCTCCGATCCCACCGGTTTTTCCATGTTTCGCGAACAAACGAAACGAAAATTAATATCGTACGCATATATACATACATATATATATATATATATGTATCGTACTCGAACGAAATTAATTATCACGTAAATGATACAATAAATAGAGATACATTTTCGCCGTCCCTCGAGAGCAAAGAAAACAATCGTGATCGCTGTTTTCGAAAAACCGCCCTTTCCTTTTTACAAATGAGAAACAAGACGAAGAGCGAACGATCGGAAATAAAAACACACACAAAAAAAAAAAAAAGAAAAAAATCGATCTTCCGACTGATCAGATGCGAAGGAAGGGCTCAGTTATCGAACAGGGCGGAACGCATGTGCGTCGGCATCGGTTTCATGGATCCGCGCATCGGGACGCGCGAAGAAGAATTGTTCCCCCTTTCTCGCGGCCGTGTCCACGAGCAAACCCCCCTTTCTCGCCCCACCCTCCGGCCTTTCCTCCGACACCTCCACCTCCTCGGGAGGTTTTGCAGGCTGCGCGCCCGCCGCCGCGCCGTTTGCTCGTCTTCTCCGCCAGTGTGCCGTCCGCCGTCGGTCGAGGACCACGTGTGCAGCAGCGTTCGTCCGTGGACCTGCGCCGACTTCCTATCCTTCGCGCGCGCCTTCTCTGCACCACCCCTCTCCGCCGCCTCTCCTTCCCCGCCGAGCCAAAAATTACCGGCGATTACAGTTCTCTTCCTCCCCTCCCTCCCCTCCCTTCAAACAAGCGTAGCTCCGTCTGAGCGCACGTGTCGAATTTTCTCTTTTCTCTTTTTTACGGGAGATCGAGGTGTTCGTCTTGGATCGTGTTGACCGCGTGTTCGATCGTTGGAAAGGAGGAACGTTCCTCTACTTGGGAAAAGCGCGCGAAAATCGGAGGGGAAAAGGATCTGTGCTTGCGAGGCGACGAGGAGAGGAATGTGGAGAAGGAGGAGGGCGAGGAGCAGTTGGCGGAATCTTTCTGCCTAGGATCGATTTCGAAGCCGGTTCGCGGCCATTGACGAGATTGCAGGCCCTGCTTGGATCTATTCCAGAAAGTCTGTGGCGTGCCAAGGTCTCCTTCTCATCTCCCTTTGATCTTTATTTGGAACGATTACAATTCCAATCGGGGATATATATATATATATTTCGTTTCGAGAGATTTTAGGAAAATGGTGGAGAAGAGTCGTCCTTCTTAACCATCCTGCAACGACCTGTGGGATTTCCACCGATTCCTTCCCCCCCCCTCGATGCGAAAGCCGAGAGAATTCGCGGCGGTGGACGTTTCGTTATCCGATCCCTTAAACTTCTCGATTCCCAAGGAATCTTGGGAAGGAAGGGCGGCTGTTCTTTGAAAAAAGCTTGTGATGGTGGAAAGTTTCGATATACCTTCGCACGGGTGATCGGTGCGGTGAATTTTGCTGCCTTGGATGGATATACACACATATATACACATATATACACGCCACGGTCATTGCGGGTATCGTGCTCGTCGTTGCAAGTTATCGGCGACAGTGGCGCGCGGTTGGAAGGCCGAAAGTGCGGTAGATTTTCTAACAGCGAGGAGAGGACCAGTACGCGTGTCCAACGCTTTGATGGAGTGAACGGATGAAAGAAGGGGAAGAGGCAGAGAGAGAGAGAGAGAGAGAGAGAGAGAGAGAGAGAAGGAAGGTTGTTGCGGTTGTGGATGCGGTGGGACGGCAAGTTTAATTAGTGTTTAACCGAGAGGAGAGGAAAAACACGAGCGAAGAAACGCTATGGTGTGTCGTGTGTAAACGTTTCTCGGAGAAATTGGTCGGGCGCGCGGCCGTCGAATCGCGTCAGTTCGGCTCGGATTTCGGTGGTGCGCGGACGATGCGTGACGGCTCGTGCCGACTCGCCACGATCGCGGCGATCGCGGACGGGTACTCGGGCGCGAGATGAAAGTGGAAAGTGGCAAGTATCGGGCGCGGTGCTCGAAGAATCGGCGAACATGACTTAACGAGGATCAGAGAGAGAGAGAGAGAGAGCTTCCTTCTTCGCTTATTCCCAAACTGATTCAACAAGGATAAGGAATAATCGAGAGAACATGTGGAGCGTACTGTTGCTCGTCGGACTAACCAAAGCTGTCTCCTTCGTCGCAGGGATCGCTTCCATCGTCGACGAGAAATCGGGTGAGTACTTTCTCTCCTTTGCAAATTTCCCTTTATTTCGCGAATATACGAATCGAGGTATCGCGTGTCAGAAATGAAATATTCTTGCATAGATCGAAATCGTAAAGGTAAAAAGGTACTTTTTCCCTCACTTTCCAACCTTTTCGTCCTATTCTTCTCTTCTGCTGACGCGCCCACGTTTGACGGATGGCGTTTCGCCCCGACATTGATTCAGCATTCCGAGTGAATTTGCGGTGGCCGACTTTGAATTTGCATCGCAATTAGAGAGAGGCTGGAGAGGCACGTAGCTCTCCCGGAAATTATCCCGATATAATGGGGCCGAAGGAGGAGGGAGTTTCTCGTTATCCAGCGATTGAAAACTCGGTTCTGATGCCCCTCCACACGCATTGTCCTCGACGCCGAAGTTGGGCCAAGACTGTTGGAGCAACTTGGCCGGCCAACTCGGGAATTCGATTAAAGATCCGGAGTCCACGAGTCGGTCGAATCCCTAACCCGCGAGTCTCGCGAGCCGCGCGAATTCCGATCGTCCCGTGACCGCGTTCTTCCCGCTTGCAACCGCTCCGAATATTTGCGAGGTGGAAGCCGTTGAAATCGAAGCGGGAGAAAAGTCGCGCGGAAGAAGAAATACGAGTCGTTTATTGATGAGCAGAGCAATTTTTGGAAAGTTGCGTGTATTCCTTGGACTCGAGTTTTCCTGTGTTCATTCGAATCGTAGAATCGAGCTGGTTAATTATTGATGCGAATAATGAAGTATGATCTCCTAAATGTATCCCATAAATGCGACAATTATTAAGATCGCTTGTTATCGCGTGTCCTCTAAAGCAAGAGAGTTGGCAGCAGTGAAGTCTCCTTTTCTTTTCGATTTTTCCCATCGAAGAGGAGGAGATAAACCGAGATCGAAGACTCGAATCAAGCCTCCACTTTCACGAGTCGTCCTTTGGCAACAACGAGGTCCCCTTCCGTTGACCCTCTTCTTTTCGATTTTTCGATCGAGAAGGGGATAAAACTCCACGAGTCGTTCGATCCTCCGTTTGAATTGAAGAAATAAGGAGAATGAAAAAAGAAAGAAAAAATGAAAGAAGATGGAGGAATATCCACGATTAACTTCCTTTTACACACCTGTTTACCCCCGCTTCTTCGCGGTTATTCCATTAATATTCTTCTTTAATTAATTTACCACCGAATCTCCTCCCTTCCTCTCGCCAACACGGTTTTCCTTTCGCCGCCCTCCCCTAGTTCTTCACCCTAGTTGGCGCCAATAATACCCTTTTTTTGCCGCGTCACAGTCGATGCTTGCAGTCGTTGAATGGAAGACGGAGGACAATGAGGCGTTTTACGAGACGCATTCATCGAGGACTTTGTCTCTTCGTCGCCTTTTGTCTTTACCTTCCCGTTTAATCCGTGTATCTCTGTTTCGTTTCTATTATCAATAGAAAGGGAAAACGTTATTTTTTTTTCTACTTTTCTACTTCCCTGTTACTCGATCTCTTCCAGTTTAATCTATGTTGCGCGTTCGCTTCTTCCCCGAAATCTCGAATCGTTGGGAAACATTTGGCGGTGTAAGCTCGGTGATATCGCGAACAATAGGAAACGGGAGTCGTAAAAACAGCGGCGGGAAACGCGTGCGCCAGTCACAAACGTGTGCAAAAATCGTTGGAAGGGGGAGAGAGGCGCTCTTTTTAAGCGAGCGGAAAAACGTAAAAACGAAATGTCCCCGGTGTTAGACGGCCACCGCGAAAATTCCTTTGTCTCTCTCTCTTTCTCTCTCTCTCTCTCTCTCTCCCCCCTCGAAAATTTTCAAACGATGGATCCCTTTTTTCAGTCGCTAATGGATCGTGTTGATTTTGATTCCATGATATTGCGAAAAATAGAAAAAACGAAAAGAGGAAAAAAAAATCAAAAAGTAGGGGAAAAAAGCGATAGAAAAATCTATAATTTGGAATATTGGAAACTTGATCCAATCTCGTTGTTCATTGGTCGTTCGTATCGCAGCGCAGGAAATACAGTGTATGCAGGCGAATTGAAAATGGAAGGGAGAATACATCGATCGTTTCCTTTTTTCCCTTTTTTTTTTTTTTTTTTCGAAGAAACTTTGTCGTATCTCCTGACTTATTTATGCGCGTTTCTTTTCTTCTTCCACTTCTGTTTCTTCTTCTTCCTCTCTCTCTCTCTCTCTCTCTCTCTCTTCGAGCAACCGTATTCAGGATCGTTTCGCTGGTGGGACACGTCGAATCCAATATTTCTCGTCGTATCTCGAGACCGTTCCCCCCCCCCCCACCCTTGATTTTCACAGGATGCATCTCGGGGGTTTAAGCTCTATCCCGTCGCGTCGACAGTTACAAACGAGACGTCCTATAACTGTCAGCGGCGGGGGAATTTGGGCCAAGTCGCGGGGAGAACGTTTTCTTCCCGCGAAATTGCGCGTGAACCACTCCCCTCCCCTCCCCTCCCCGTTAACCGCTTAATCGATGCCCCTCCCCCAACAATTAATCAACCAATCGTTCAACCGCGGCCTTTTTTCCCTCGCTCCAACTACTCCTCGCTACAACGTTGCTCGATTCTCGAGCCTTTAAGTGATTCGAACTCAGAATTCACGCTTGCCATCACGCTGGAGGCAACGTAGAACAATTTATAGAGGGATTAGTCAACGACTAATTTAACGTTAAATTTAACGTTCGCTATATCTCGCCTAGAAATATATAGAATTCGAGATCTATTTATATATATATATATATATTTATTTTTATTAACTTCGAGTTAGAAAAATGTACTATTTTAACGCCTCGATAAATAAATGGATCGTTACCCCGATAACACTCGGATTATTGGGATAAGATGGTCGATAGAGGAAGGAAGGAAGGAAGGAAGGAAGGAAGGAAGGGGGCATCGATTATTATTTGCCATCTCCCCTCCTGTAAATACTTAACTGGGGAATGGATGTAATTTTTGTTGGACTCGATCGACTGGGCGCAGCGACATTCCACGGATATTTCTCTTTTCCCAATCGGGGGAAAAGAGATTCGTGGAGGAGGAGGAGGAGGAGGGGGGGGGGGGGGTAATATAAGGATCCTCCCCTTTCAAGCCGTGGATCGATCTATCGTTGAAAACGTGGCGCGGAAAAATCCCTGTTTTTCACTGTGAAAGAGGGGGAGAGGCACCCCTTGCGACGAGAGGGGGGAGGGGGATATATAACGATATTATACGAATCGCCATGTAGAAATACCATGACAGCGAGCTTTACGCGATATTATGCGGTATTCCCGCAGATATCAGTGCGCATCAAGCGGTAATAAATTAACAACGATATTATTACATTGCATATGCAAATATTTGCAAGTGCTGTTTACCATAACGGGAAATTATAAATTCATGGGAACAAAGTAGTGCATTAATTATGCCCGTCTGCGGCAACGAATTGCGCGAATCGGGCCAACTATCATCGTTCCAATATCTCTCTCTCTCTCTCTCTCTCTCTATATATATATATATATAAATCTCTCTTCGAGATTTACCGAATTCCTACGGTATACACTATCGGTGATTGGAATACGATTCTCAATCGTTCGGCTCAAAATTGCTTCCGTCTCGCCGACGACGCCAGATGGACGGACATATTTAATCAAAAGAGTCGTATGAATGGATCATCTACTCGTGAATAGAGAGGGGGAATTTCTCAAACGATAAATCGATAAAGATCACCGAAAAATTGCACGTAGGAAGAGGGACAATGACAATCTTTGCGGTGAGGTTTCCTAGCTGGATTCGAGATATTATTTCTATCTATTCGTTTCTAGGTTTTATCCAATGTCGGTCCATCCAATGGCACCCCTTATTGGATCGGTTTGATGGAGAAGACGTTCGAGGCATTGGATATGTCGTAAAGATCGCAACGTTTAGTACGGGGCGTAAAAAAATTTTTTAACGCAGGGGGCATTAGCCGCGATAATACCTGGTCGATGTTCTATATATATATATATATATATATATATATTTCAGGACGTAATTTCTTGCGATATCGAGAAAAGCGTGACGAAGTCACGAATGTCCTCGTGTTTTTTCTCTCCCTTTTCAAGATCGAGTTGATACTCTACGCACACCAAGGGGGGTGTTATTCGTCTCACCGAGGGGGATGGTTACGTTGGAACGGTTACGAGCGATTTGCTAATTTCCCAAGTTACGACGTTTAGTTGTCACGAAGCTCTCTCTCTCTCTCTCTCTCTCTCAACGCGTGTTCCGCGACGATTAACACCTGTTTTCTCTTCCTTTCTTTTTTTTTTTTTTTTTTCCACCCGGCACGGGCCAATCTTCGCCTCCGATATCGATCCGACACGTTACGGTTACGTGGCCGCACAACTCGACCGAGTCCTCGACTCGTCCGATCTGGAGGGGAGTAACGCACACGCCCTAGGATATCTGATTACATCGCGGTATAGAGCTCACGAACCGAGGTCCCCCACGAAGACGTAGAGCGGCACGAATTCCAACGACTTCATATCTCCTCCCTGCCCCCCTCCCCCCCCTCTTATCTGGCTTAATAAGTTGATCGTCTTCGGCGAGAGAAGACCAACCAACCAACATTCCCTCTTTCGCGACACCATCTTGATCTTCAGGGCCGTAATCGCGGCGATTTACGCGAGGGGCGATTAAAGAGGGGAGGGGAGGGGGGGGAGGGCGTAAATGTTTTCGGTTAGATTAGATTTAGATTCGGGCCGGAACGGAGCGACCAATTTGTAATTACGAACGAAAGGCGGCCGTTTCTCGTTAGAAACGGGCCGATGACCCACGATAATAATGAAAAATGAGCGGGGAGTCGCGTAATAGGTAGTCATTGTTCGTTCGCGATAACACGACAGATACGGGAGGGGGGGGGTGTAATGTTTGAGCCGATATATCCCCCCAGGATTCTTGCGTGCCTGCTAGTTCTACGCTGTACGCTGCCGCCACGTTCCACGGGTCATCCATTTGCCGGATAGATGACTCTTTAGGGACCCGATGCTTTT